TGACAACATCAGAATCAGAGAGGTGTTTCTCTACTTTAAAAAGGATTAAGACTTTCCTTAGAAACACTATGGCACAAGATTGGCTCAATGCTCTGGCTATTCTCTCCATAGAGAAAAAACTGATACGGGACATTCCTGATTTCAACACAAGGGTCATTGAGAAATTTGCCACATAGAAAGACAGACGAGCAAAGTTCTTGTACAAATAAGAGCCCTCCACCCCATTCACTCTTACTTAATTTACACTCTCACACACACATACAGAGAGAAAGAGACACACATTTTGTCATGTGGTGAGTGAGTTTGAAGGATAGTCTATTTGTTTTGAAGAGAGGGAAAGGATTTTGGAAGGTACTGTGAACATTGTAGCATGTACATAATTTTGTCAGCTGATGACTTTTTTCATTTTTTGAAATTCTGTTCTGTTTCTGTTCTGTTCTGAAACCCATTGTGTCATTTTGAAACTGTTTGGCTGAAGATAATGGCAGTACAGTATGGTGTATGCTTACTTTGTGTGTTTGCTGACAAATAGTGACATTGAGTATTGTATTTCATACTGTTCCTTTAAAAAATAAGACCTAATATAGCTGTAAATGGTTAACTGTATCTGTAAACTGTTGATTTTGAGCAGGGAATTAAATGTTTATTGTGGAATTGCAGTAAGTTTTAGACTTTTAACTTTAATGCATGTACTGGGTTAGGCAGCCGCCACTACCTCAGATATAAAGATGCCTTCTTGAAAACTTTCTGAATGAGGTTTGCATCCATCTTCTGGCCCTCTGACAGTGTTGGGGCAACAAGCTTTTTCCCACAGGGCATAAGGATTTGTAAGCTGAAATAGATAAATAATGTTTTGTGATACAGCCCATGATGGCTAAATCTCCGCTTAGCATGCTAATTTAATGACTGTTCGATGTAAACACTCAATCTAGTCTGGAAACTTAAAATGTAGCTACAAAAATGTAGGATCACTCACTTGTAATAAGGCAAGCACACATCACTTCCCACAGACATGATAGGCGACTCAAATTGGCACTTAACATTAGCTAACTTCACTCTAGCAGTAGAAGTTCTGTCATTAAGGACCATTTAGCCTATTTTAACTTCTTTCTAAAGAACATCCTGGACTCTTATCCATTATGGTACTTACCCCACATTATAAGGAAGAAATACTCTGGAGCTGAATGCCTGCCGTAGTTTGTTTGTTACAGCTGTGCTGTCCCACGATTTGTCAAACTCAAACGCATTCAGAATGTATCCCCTCTGATAAAGTCGTATTTTTGTGCCGGCATTGTTCTTATATGAAAAGAAAGCAGAACGTCAACTTAGTTAAGACAGCATGACAAAAACGTAAAAGAGTACCCTTTAGCAACAAACACAGGAATGCACTATATGCATACATGATGATACTTTATGATTTGACAGCTAACAATGCTAGTGTGTAATGTCATGACAAAATTCTGCTAGCACTATGTTCAGCTAATAACAGATAGTTCCCCCTTGCGCTAAAAGGCTATTGAAAATTCTGTTTTATTAAATTATCTTAGCTTTTTTTTCTTTTCCTCTGGAATTCCAACAGCTAAAACGCCTGGCCTGAAATCTGGGAGTTTCCAGTGTGGTTGATGGAATAACATTAGGTGTAGCATTAGCACTGGAGGTCCCCAATGTTGTCGTCGGTGGCATGGGTGAAGCATTAGCAGTATTTCTGTCGGGTCTAAACACACTACTCATCTCTGTATTAAGGTTTCGCGAATAAACCTGTGGCGCTGTGCTGATACCATTTGAAATTGTGTTGATAATCGCAGGTGAACCCAAGATGTTTCGCAAAATTGTTAGTGCTTCCTCCATGCTGTCTCTGACGCTGTTAAGAGGAACGTCCTCCATGATCGGTGTCAGGAGAAAGCGCCAAAATTGAGACCGCCACACCGCTGCGCAACATAGGCTAATTATTTTGAAAATTACATATATCGGATCAACACTCCAGTACGCCTTTTCCAGACAATAATTTACTTGAATATGAAGTCCTTAGAGACTGATTCATCAGTCCGGAGGCGATGGAAATTACAATGAACCTGCATGGTGACAAACCTCCGGGTCCACTGAAATGTCTTCCTGTCTAACTGAAAAAATCTCCCTCTCTCTATCTATTCCCCCCTCTCAGCCTCTCTACTCCCCGCTCTCTCTCTCAGCACCCCCCCCCCCCCGTCGTCCTCCATCCTCTGTACCTGTACTCTCCTACATTTCCACAGTGCTGAGAGAAATAAAGGTGGTGAGTGACTGTATTCCAGTGCGTTTTGCCACGCTTAAATGTATATGTGAAAGTTCTTTTTCAGTATGGAGAGACAGTTTCAGTAGAGAGGGGAGAGAATTCCAATGTCTTTTGGCCTACACGGCCTCTCATAGTCATGTAATAGACTGACCGACTGTTCGCGCTCCTGCCCGCTCCACCAGATTCAGTGAATAACAAAACGCACACCCGGATGCCTTCACAGTCACTGCTGGAGACTTCAACCTTGCCAACCTCAGAACAATTCTACCGAAATTTCACCTACACGTGAATTTTCCAACGAGAGGACAAAACACCTTGGACTTAGTTTACTCCGCACAGAGAGAAGCCAACAAAGCGAATCCCCTCCCCCACGTCGGGAAATCGGATTACTTAGCGATCCTGCTATTGCCCAAATACAGACAGAGGGTAAAACTCACCAAACCAGTTCTGAAGGAGGTGAGAGTGTGGCCTGAGGGGGCCGTGTCACAACTTCAGGACTGCTTTGAAACCACAGACTGGGAGATTTTCAAAACATCTGCCACCCACAACAACCACCCAGACATCGAGGAATACAAAAACACGGTGACCTCCTCCATCACAAAATGCATTGATGACGTCACAAACATATAACGCATCACCACTCGGGCCAACCAGAAGCCATGGCTGACAGGGGATGTCCACAGACTGCTGAAGGCCAGAGACAAAGCATTCAGAGCTGGGGATGAGGCTGGCCTCAGAACAGCAATGGTTAACCTGTCCCAGGGCATCAGGAAGGCAAAACAGGACTATACAAACAAAATAACCTCACACCTCCAAGACAACAGAGACGCACAGAGCCTATGGCAGGGCATGCAGGCCATCATGGACTACAAGCCTGCGCCACAGACCTGTGAGGGCAACACCTCTCTGCTGAATGACCTGAACAGTTTCTTCGCCCGCTTCGAAGCACAAAACCACACTCACCCACAGAAAACCCCACCTCCCCCCATGACCAACCCCTGTACCTGTCCTCTGCTAGCGTGAAAAGAACACTAGCTAACATCAACCCACGCAAAGGGGCAGGGCCGACGGAATACCAGGCAGAGCGCTGAAAGACTGTGAAAATATCTTTCAGCTCCTCTGCACAGACATCTTCAACACCTCCCTGGACCAAGCCATCGTCCCATCACTTTTCAAAGCTGCCACCATCATACCCGTGCCGAAGAAATCATCACCATCTGGCTTCAACGACTACCGTCCCGTTGCACTAGAGGCTGACATTTATTCGGGAATCCCACGGGTCACGGGATTCCCGTGAGATTCCTGCAGGATGGGAGTCATCTTTGCTATTAATCACGGGATTTGGACGGTACAGGATAAATGGTTAACGGGAGCAAACGGGAGCGTGAATCAACCAATAGCAAAGACGAAAAAAAAGTAAATGCACCATTTTTTAGTTTCCTTTTAATATGCCTACATTGTAGGCCCTACAATGTAACGCAATTAAAAAATAACTACATGACCCAGCCGTCCCAGAAGCCATCAGTGCTTTTTGTCACGGCTTACCGCCGGAATTCAAAGAGCAGTGATGGAGGGAGCTAAGAGAAGTCGATGTGGCAAAGAATGATTTACAGCGCAAAGTCAGAAGTAATGACATGTCTATTAAGTTCACAGAACTGGTCGGAAAGTCTGAAATATTATATACGTTTCTGAGAGTAGAATGTGACGGTGCTAGCATGATGTACGTTGCTTGTAAGACATGTTTAGTCTTAGTCAAGTACGCAAGTGATTCAGGGACGAGCGGTCTGAAGAGGCAAATTCGGGAAAGAATCAGCCAAGCGTCGCTTCGTTCATCAAGCGAAAATTGCCGTCAGGTGTCAAGTCTCGTCTGACCGACAAAATTGCTCGCATGTGCAGCCAAGACTTCAGAGCCTTTGCTGTGGTAGAGGGGAAAGGCTCTACTAACGTAGCACAGGAGCTGCTCCACATTGGAGCCAAATATGGAAGTAACGTGCAGGTGGAAGACATACTGCCATGTGCACACACAGTTTCCCGTCACGTAACCTTGGAGTTGGAGAGTAATTGTGCATGTGCGTATGTGTGAAAGAGAGAGACAGAC